TTGGGCAAGAAACTTTACCCTCCCAGTGCCTTTTTACATCTACCAGTAAGTATTTCTTAGCTGATTCATGTCACCTCTTCTTTTCTTTATCCACAGTTTGGTTGGATTCCCGTAACTCTCTTCTTAGTTTCTCATTTTCCTCTTTCAACTGTGGAGATAACATGGAAAATTTTGAATCAACCATGTTTATACTCTGAAATTGTTTACTGCTTTCCAGGAGTAATGGCAGAATTCAATAGGTTTTTCCTCTCAGTTACATGATTTCTACTGTGGAAAATAAACAGAGGAGGGCTTTTTTTCTGCAGAATACCCAAATTAAATGAATGGCCAAATGGAATGCGTGGGAACTTCTGCGGCTGATTACTAATCATTATCATGGTAATAGGACCAAGTGGAGTCCAATTCAGTCGGTAATCATACAGTCATTGATGAAGAAAATTGGACAACCGCAAAATGGGAGTCCAATTTGTCAATCCCAAGTATGATTACCCACAGACTTGGACATTAATCTCCAATTAATCATAACTGTTACAATTTCTGAACACAACAAATACATTTAGGACAAATATCTCTAACTTGTAGAGACAATGTCAAAAGTAAAAAATTCCTCAATTTTGGAAATTCCATAGCTTTTTTTAGGATAAGTGGTTGTTGCTATGGTTATTGTGATCAATTCTGTGATTGGTGGATTTGGTAGAAAGGACTGAGTATGATTTGCTGCTTCAACTGTCCAATTATACGTGTTGGATTACAGCCAACTGTCTGATCACAACTTCACAGAAAGGTTAGAGAAAAATAAAGCAGATCATGCACCAATCACATTTATTTAATTTGTGGAAATTGTATTAGTTATGATTAATAATAAAATCATAATTAAAGTTTTGAAAGTCACAGAGCAGATGTTAATTAAATTCAAAGTAATATTGCATGTGGTTAAAACAAGTGTTATTTGAACTCATACTAAAATTAAATCCTATATTTTATGCAGGATGGGAAACTTTGGCCAAAAGGTGTTAAATACTCTCCTGAAGTTAGTCGTGTCTAACCTGATTCATTTCTTCAATGATCTTTTCCTGAGTCTCGGAGCTGTCTAGAGAAGCTACAAAGTAGTTGATACTCCCACTCATCGGTGACTCAAGGCTACTTGTTAACTCACTCTCATCCTCTGTCTCTGAGCCACTGTCACTTTGGGCAGCAGTTTCCATGTTTAATTCTTGACTTTTGGTTCCCTACATATTTCAAACACAAATAAAAGAACTTTGAATATTGAAAGTGTGTTTGTTCTTTTTCTAAAATCATCACCTTTAATTAATTTCAAAAATAATCAAGTCAATGATCTACAAAAATAATGGAAAATATATTATTATATTTTAAACCAAGACCAACCAAAGAGTACAACATGATCAGTTCCTACATTTCTTTTTCCATTATCCTGATCTGTGTTCACTTCACGTACTTCATCATCAACTATCTATAAAAACAACATAAAAATGACACAACAAACTTTAAGATTCTTCACCATCTTCGTACTCACTACATGCTGTAAAAGGAGACTTATAAATTTTATGATCAAAAACTTATCCCAAAAACAGTTTCCTGTTACTTGTGAAAAGAAGGAAATTTCATGAAGGTTTGAGTAGCAAAGAAGTGATTTAAGAGTGATAAGAAATACATTAATAAACCAAAATTACATATGAGAAAAAAATACACCAGTAGCTTTAAAACACTTTCTATATGAAAAGCAATGAAATACCACAAAACACCAGGTGCTTGTATCAAAAGTGATAGGATTAGGTAAATTATAGTCATCTTGATATGCAAGACCTGCTACTATCATAGGCTATTAGTTGGCCAAACATAATTTAAATATTACCTGCAACACACGCTTATTTCTTGATGCCAGGTCATCTGAGAGGAAATTCTTGAATGAAAAGGGATTGACTACACCTTGGTCATTACCATCATCACCTTCTTCATTGACTGCCAGGAGTACAATAGAATAAATCTTATTCTATATTAAGATTAATAATAATAATACAAAAATTTCTATAGCACCCTATTCAAGAGCTCTACAGCGCTTTACAATAAGATGTTTCAAGGAGTAACTTGGAAAATAAATACTTAAAAATACTTAAAGCAAAACTACAAATTAAAATAGTGCTTAATAAGATAAGTTTTAAGGTTGCTCTTAAAAGATGTAAGATTTAAACTATATTTTATATGCAGTTTAGGAGTGCAGACCCAAAAAGCACGATCACCATAAAATTTTAACCTTGATTTAGGTGTCACTAACAAGTTCATGGTTGATGATTGTAAACTCCTAGATGGCTTGTAAGTCTGCAACAAATCACTAATATGGCTAAGACTTAATAAATAATTTAAATATTTAAAAGTCAACAGTAGGATTTTAAAAAGATTAACCCATGTGGCTTTATGGCATAAAACTATACATGGCAGTGCCAGGGAGTTGTTTTGGGTCACTTATCTTTAAAGCAGTTTTGCACGTTAGTGCTATAATTGTATCATCATGAGAGTCATAAAAAGACTTAGAATTACTGCATCATTCACAGGAAAAACCAGATTAAATCAAGGATAATAGAAGTAGTCATAGAGTACTGGCAGCAGGAAAATAACTTATGGGAAACCTCTCTTGTGGATCAAAAGAACAATCAAAGGTAGTCAGCAAGAGAGTGTCTGGCTCCAAAAATGAGGCAAGAAGAAAATCTTTCACTAAGAAAATTAGATTGTCTGTCATGTTAAAGCAAACATGTACAATCAAATTTAATCATACTACCTTACCCTTATGTATATAATTTACATTTATATTTAAGGATATGGTAGACCTTTGCAAGCCATATTTTTTTAACTCAAAAAAAGTAAAACTATTTTTACTAACAGTTTCTACCAAACATTTTTGTAAAATATTGAAACATACTTGAGTTATTTACAGAAACATTTTTCTGAACTGAATTCTTTGAGCCACCAAAGTTTAAAAAGCCAATTAAGATGTGTCAACACAAATGACTTCTGTGATGTTTTTCGTTGCAGAATATATGAGGTAGTAATCACATAAACATCTTGAATGTTTGTATTTCAGTTGCACGTGTTCATCATAGTAGTCTGTGAAAAAATAGGTAGAGATAAAAAGGGAAAGAGTCCTTGGGTTAAAGCTCAAAAGAAACCTAGCCATAAGAGCCAGAGATTGAAGGATTTTGATGAAGAATGGGGAAAAAATCTTGCCAACACAGACAAGGGCTCATGGAATGCGCTTTCTTTGCTGCTTGCCCTCAAGCAACCATCAACAAGTTCTGCCTACTTAGGGTCAGTAAGAGTTGAACTTGACGGCACCAACAAACTTTCCATTGCTTTGAATTTCTTCTGAACAAAGCTCTGTCATGCACAAGAGCATGATAGTTTCCTGCAAATCATATTTTGTTGAGAGTCTCCTGGGACTCTGTTTCTATATTGTTATTGGTGGTCAGCATTTCAAGTTTTTCAGAATGATAACTTGACATGTGGTAAACCAAAAGTGTGGAGTGTTGACAAAACTTTGGAGGTGAAAAAACACACTTTATATTTACATTAGTGTGTCTTCTTTGGATGATTTAATAGGGTGTAAAACCTTTACAGATTGACTTGAAATTTGGTCCGAAGGCTCCAGAGACACCAATCTGAAGACCATGTGGGGCTTTTCACTATTTAAATTTGATCTCCTACAATGGTCTCCGATGTAACACATATCAGTAAAATTTTGATGACTTTACTTGACAAAAAGATTGCAAAGCAACCAATAGGAACATCAAAAAAGCTCCACATGGTTTTCAAGACTAACCTCTTAGGATTGAAATTGGCAGAAATTCTGTTTGTGCAGTTGATTTGATACCCAATTAATTCGCTTAGAGAACCATTGTCCGTTTCGGATTGTCGCGTTTCAGTCGGTTTACCATTGGATCACGTTGAAACGAAACAACTTTTGTTGGATAGTGTATTTCATAACCTTTCCATTCATATATGGTTTATAGTGATTACACTTTTAATAGCGTGGTCACAATTTTTTAGCGAAGGACACCCGCGAAAGTCTACCGTATCCTTAACTTTACAACGTACGTTTGTTAAAAATAGTTGGTCGAAATAAAGATTGTTGTTGTTGTACGCTTCAACTTTATTCTCGGTAAATTTGTAGTCAGTGGACTCAATTTTAGCTCATTGGAGTCGTCAGACATTCCAAATGTTAGGCGTATTCGAAACTACGTTTTTGATATCAACCAAGTGACTGATTCATACGTACTCATGAAAACAAATGCAGTCTCCTAACTATTCAGCGCATAAAACCTTTCTCTTGATTTCTACGGAAAGTTGCCACAAATACTAGTATAGTGTAAATACTTCATATAATATGACATCGGCAATTCCTTTCAAGTAAGAGAGTACTCTAAATTTGATATATTTAACAATGCAAGTCATTTCCTGTAAGCTCACCTTGTCTGCTGACTTCCGGAAAAGGCGGTTCATCTGTGGAGCTGTCCCTCTTTCGTACACTTGCGGGAGAACTTTTTGATTTATGCTTGTCTTTTTTTATCTTACTTGTTGTGGTCTCAGTTTCTTGTTTTGATTTTACAAACGTTTTAAAAGAGAAAGGATTCTCCTTACTCGAACTGTCCTTGTCCGCCATCTTTGTACCATTCTTATAACACTTCATATAATTGCACTGTACCGTTCTCTAGTAGTTACAGTTTTGTGTGGAGTGGGGAGGGTAAAGCAATTTCTCACTCTTCAGGATCAAGATATCGCTTTTAATAGCCCTTTTCAGTAATATTCTGCTACATGAATATATATATTACAAAATTTTGGGGTCTTCCTGATAATAGATCGTCTTTTCAAAGATAACCTAAGCCAATATAAGATCACTACCCCCCTCTGCATACCACGTGACAATTTTGGCGGGAATGTTGGTGCCGGTCGGTCAGGCCCTGCACTCGTGTACACATTTGTTCCCGCATCCTCGCTCGGTTGGCCTACTCGGTTCGTTTGGCAACCTTAGTTCTGTTGCTAGCATCAAGACCACATATTTATTGTTCGAATGCTGCCTTAAATCTAATCCAGGTGACATGTATCCTGCTTTATCAAAGGTAAGTAAGAGTTGTGCGTTACATAATACTTTGATTTGTACCGCATGCATCAGTTTATATGTACAGCCATTGAGTAGCCACTTGCCCTTTGTTTAAATCCTTAATCCTTCACGAAGGAAGAACCATCGCTTACTGGAGGATGTTTGTATCCGTTGTCACATTTTATAGTAACTAAAAACGGTTTCAGTGCATATGAATACTCATTCTTTGATGGTACGATGGTTGTTGATAAATATTCATTGAAAGTGGATTCGAACAAAGACACGATTATTGTCAAGCTGTGCACATTCTTTCGACTTTAGAGGTTTCCAAAGTCACACTACAACCATTTGAAAACACTCTGAAAAATATCTTTATATTGATGTAGCCAAGAACCATCATATCAAGATTTATCCCTCAGCATTGCAAAGTTTAATTGAAATCTATAGCATAGGATCAGAGCCACCTTAATTCCTTAATTCCTTGACCCCAGATATCTCTTTGACTTAAAGTTCAAAGGGAAGAGATGGATTGGGATTTTTCAAGGAGTGTTGATAATGTAGGATGTACTAATAAACTTTCAGGGAACGTTCTGGAAAATTCAGAGAGGTTATGTTACGGTTCATATTCTTGTTTTCTTCAACATAGTGCTTGTTTTAGAGCCGAAAATTACTCAATCCTTTTATAATACTTTGTGACATTAAGCTTTTGCTATTTCCTGATCAGCAAGTAGGCAGCATTAATTCAGTTTAGGAGGCTATTTAGTTGTAAATCTCAACTCAAGTTTTAATTATGAATCTTCAACAGGAAGTTCAGAAAGCTAGTGATTTATGGAAATCTTAGGTATGTCTATTGATTAATTCAGTTAAAAGTTTCATTCAGTGGGGTTATACAGTGTTGTGCTGCATTAGGAACTTGCATCTGAATAGTGATTAGAGTTTGAACACTAATTGAGAATTTCTGCAAAATATCTTTAAAAACCCTACATGGAGAGGTGATCACTTTGTAATTGTGGGTGAGATGAGTGCAGATAATTTAAGACATTTTAAAGAGGAATGATGTTTCCAATTGTAAGTGTATACAGGCTTAGGAATTATTGATAGCTTGATAGTTTTAATTGCATGTAACATTTGGGAGAATGTTCAAGTCAGTTGTTTTAACAATGACTTTGATTGGTTAACATTGCAGTTTGTTAACTATTGGAAAGGGAATGGTATTGAAACTGTCTCCGGAGATATACAAGTTGAATGTAATGGACATGAGGAAACAATGACAAGTCAAGAGGTTAAGAATATTACTTTTTATAGCTAGCTACATCTGTTGAATACACAACCTGCCGTTTTGAATTTTCTTTCTTGTACAATCCTTTTAATCTGTCAATTTCTATTCCTAAATGAAACTGTAACTATTGTGTTGTATTTCTAGGCAAGTGAGCATTTAAACAGTAATAAGAGGAAATTACCACATCAGTAAATTATAGAGTGATACAATAAGGTCACAGTTTCCAAGCTATTCTGGCTGAAAGTCTGAAATATGACAATAATGATATTAATCTAGAAAGCTTGCATTTACAGCCATACCATACCAAAATTGTTTAAATTTTACATCAATACATATGCTGAGTCCTTTCCTTTGCAAGCATATGTATATTTTTTCTTGCCCCTTTTTGTATTTGAGACTACTTGCAAACTAGTTGAAATACAGCATAGGAACTAAAGAAAGTCTTACATGTAGCTCTTGTATATATCAAATGTAATTTTCAAAAATTGTCTTACTTTGTTTACAGGAGAATAATAATGTTGGCTCGCTGTCACCACCAGAGGACTCAAATGTGGGTGAAGTTACTGCAGCCATGGAGGAAGAAGAGAAAGCTCTTCATGAGGTTTCTAGCAAAGAACAACAAGATTTGAGAGTTAAGGTAGTTTTGAAATTACATTTCATCAGTTTCCAAATCTATTGATTAATAGTTTGTTGATTTATTTAGTAACATATAAAGGCCGTAATAAAGCAGCCCTGGATTTTATAATTATATTATCTGTTCAACAATCTACAGTAAAATAATCTTCCAGAATTGCATACACCATCTTTTCTTTTAGTTAGTAAGTTTTGCATCTTTTATAATGCAAGTGGCAAGATAACTTTTTGGAAATTGAAAAGAAGATTCCTCTGGAAGGAAACCTTATTTCCAACTTGCATGGAAGTTGATTTTCCAACGAAATATCTCTCTGAAAAAAGGCAGTAGTTTTTTATTGGTTATGGGAAAACCTACAATAAGTGGTTCTTGATATTCAGGGTTTTTTTTTTAATGTTTGGCTTTATCCCAGAGGGAAACCAGCTTCCATTCCTATAACTGCAAAATACCTTATTGTGTAGGATAGAGGAAAAGTGATGTTACAAGGTTGTGGTTTTTATGTTTACCCAGGCTGAACAAGAATGGGAGAGTGTTGAAGACGAGAAAAGGACGCTTCGTCTAATGCTTTTGTTGGAAAAGTCACAAATTTATTGTGATTTTCTTCTTAAAAAAATGGAAAAGCAGAAAGTGGAAGCAGAGAAGAAGCAAGAAAAGCTAGAAAAGAAAAGAAACAAGGAGAAGGATGGCATGCAAATGGTAGTGTTAAAAATAAATCTAAAGCACTTTTATTCTTCTATTTTACATATTTCCTATTTCAATTAGTGTTTCCATAACTGTTTTAGGTATTTGTTCAAATTTCAAAGAGTGATCAGGGTTCTCTGTAAGTTGTGGAGTATTTGGCAAGGTACATGAAATAGATGGCTGGTGACATGAGAGCTTTTTGGGGGGGGGTCTCGGGGCATCTTCCCTATCAAAAAAATATATGTGAAATGTATGGGCTCCTAAATGCTATTTTGTGCATTGCTTTCAACGTGTAAAGTTTCTACTGAAATGGATGCTGTGAATTTGCTTGGCAATTGAATATCAATGCTTGTGTCAACCAACAATTCCATTTTTGTATCGTGTTCCAAATTATTAGACTTACCTTAATGACTCTATGTTTGATGGTTCTACATCCAACACAACCAGTGATTCTTCCATTATTTCCTCACTGTCCTCTTTTTTTTTTTTTTTTTTTTTCATTTTTTCATTTTTTTTATTTTCATAAAGCCCATCATCCTACATTTATATTTTGTTGCCCTCTAATTCATATTCACAAGTCTAAGTTTGAGTAACTTGGTCTGTACATAGTGACCAACCTCTTATGTGTTTGTAATTGCACACACATGCATAGAAAGCAGTATGGTTAGTTGACTGGGAAATATGTGTCAGTCAGTGATTGGAAGAGTGCTAAACCAGCAAGAAATTGAAAAAAAAGTTGTTTTTGAGGAACATGATAGGAAAATTACCTTTAAATACACAAATAAAAAGAAGTGTGATACTATGTTTATATGTACATATATGTATAGGTTTCCCACACCGAACGCAGGGTAAGTGCAAGAGGTCACAAGAAATTGAATGGCACTGTTGAAACTAGCCCTCAAAAGAAGAAAACAGTCTCCAACAGGAAAGCTGGTAGAAAAAGAAAGGCAGAAGATTCCTCAAGCTACATGATATCCAATTATCTTGACAAAGAGGTAACAAACAGCTATAAAAAATGTAGACTCTGAGTATCATTGAATACTTTCATGTGGATAATTCTCTGGATAACTTCTGGACAGGGTGCTTGTTAAATTCAAAGTTGACAGTAAGGCTCAAATGTCAAATGTTTGGACCTGGTCTTAAGTTTTAAGTATAGTTTTAGAAGAAAAACTAACTAAAGGTGATACCCAGAGCTTTCATTCATCTGGCCCAGGTAACATTTTTCGTGCAGTCACTAAATACTTTGTGCATATTGTCAGATTAAAAAAGGTTAGGTCTTGTTGACAGAGGATGTTGCATACATGAATATTTAGATAAATCTTCAGCATTAAGCAGTCTAAGTCTAACACCATTGCTGTTATTGGTGTTGTACTGGTCAATAACTCACATTGTGAGAACAATGTGACTGTATATCCATGTCATTACGCAGTTTAAGGATCATTGCTTTTGGATTTCTGATCATGAGCCTTAAGATCAAATCAAAAATCTCTGGTGAGCAAAAAATAGATGATTCGTCATATTGTGATTTTGACAGTGTATCTGTGGTTTTTGTGGTGAGCTCTTGTGGTGCTCTGTAATGTCTCTAATTTTTTATTTTATTTTTGTAGTCACTGACCAAGAGGTGCAAAGTATCAGAAGACAGTGAGAATGTTGGCATGGAATCTTCATCTACTATACATGTATCCCAGTGTGTCTCGGAAATGAATGGAGACCATGGGGAGGAAAGCAAGGTAATCAGATCGAGGAATTCTAAACACAGCCAGTCACAGCTGTTGTTCCTCTTGTAATCAATCTATTACATGACTAAGCATGTCTCTAAATTTATATTCCCTCGACTCAAACAAATTTGATTTGTAAGTGGCACATTTTCAACTTACTCTTTTTTGTATGCAAGATTCTATGTCGAGCTGTAGATGTGGTTGACTCTTGTGGGTATATTAAATTTCATGTTTATCAAAGCATGGCACAAAAACAACTTCAATCAAAATAGACCAATAAGAGCAGTAAGAATTGTTGTACACAAAGTGATGTGCAACCATTTGACCTCACCACTTAAGGAAGACAAGTATAGTTAGCTGAGGTGGCTGCATCATTAGACAAAAGGTAAGACTTAATCACTATACACAACATATTGCTTTGGAAAGTGTGTTTGATTTGCCTAAAAATTTATAACCCAGGAGCCTGGTTGCTCAAGCAGTAGTGATGAAGACAAATCAACAACTCAACCACGGTTTGTTACTGGAGGAGAGCTAAGGCCATATCAGCTTAAAGGTCTTGCTTGGCTTAAGGTAAAGTGATTACCTTGGTATTATTAGTGTATCAAGCAATTAGCACAGTATTTATATTTCAAAGTTGTCATCTATTCCTGTTTGAGTGGATTGAGAACCAGCTTTTTAACCTCAATGTTGTAAGATTTTTCTTCATGAGTTTGATAAGTTTTATGAGGCATCTTAAACTTTTCTTTTGTTGACATAGAATACTTGGATAGTTTCACATACAAACTTGTCCTCCTTGTGGTCAGATTTTATTGGTTTTAAGTTTGATTAAGGCAGACTTTACTAAATGTTTTGTTATCTTTGTGGTTAGTCAAAGATGAGAAGGTTTCTGTGCAGTCCATGTAAATTTTACAAGAACTGTGTCAGGAATACTGTTTCTGATTAGTGTGGTAAAGTTGGCTAACTTCAGGGTACATTCATTGATTGTGTACTGGCAATAACCTTGATCAACAGGTCCTTTATGAAAATGGTATGAATGGCATCTTAGCTGATGAGATGGGTCTTGGTAAAACACTGCAATGCATCTCACTATTGGCACACTTTATTGAAATGGGAGTCAGAGGACCTTTTCTTGTAGCTGCTCCTCTGTCTACACTGAATAACTGGGTTAAAGAATTCCAGAAATTTGCCCCAAAGGTACAGCAATACAAATGAATGGTACAACTAATATTTAACTCATCTAGTAAAAGGTTTTTATACTGTTGTTTCAGGTGGTATACCATTGTCATAGAATATGAAAAATGTGTTTCTTCTCCAGTTATTTTCAAGAAGTGCTCTGTGGGAACCCAAAGCCTATTTTCTAATATTAACTTTATAAAGTCTGTGGCTAGGTTGCTTTATGAGTTCAGATGTTTAGTACGTGTACTTTTTGGTTGATAGCTAGGAACCCTTGTTTATTCAAAATAAATTAATCTGTTTGCAATTTAACCGCTAAAAATATTAATTATATTTACTATCTAGGTGGTTGATGACTAAATTACAATTTGTTCTCTCTCTTTAGATTCCTGTGATGTTTTATCATGGCACACAACTGGAACGTCTGCGTCTGAGGGGCCAACTGCAAAAGCTGGTGCATGTGGAAGGCGAAATTTATACTCTGCCTGTGGTAGTCACTTCCTATGAGATTTGTATGAATGATCAGAAAACTATGCATGATTTGAACTGGAAGTACCTCATTGTTGATGAAGGGCATCGCATCAAAAACCTTAATTGTAAGCTTATCAGGTGAGAGTAAAGTGTGGACTGGTAGTTGGCATATGTAATGTTGAAATAATTGGATGTCTTTCACCTGTCCATCAAAGCATCTAGTGATTGAGGAGTCTTTTATCAAAAATCACTTTTGTTCTTATTTAGTTGGTTAAAAGTGAACGTTAAAAGTGACTCTATTGAGAAGACGGAATATGTTAGATATAAATAAAACAGTGATCATGTATTTACATTCATCAGGGAGTTGAAGACATACAAGACAGCAAATCGTTTGCTACTTACAGGCACCCCATTGCAGAACAATTTGTCAGAGCTTTGGTCTTTGTTAAATTTCCTTTTACCAGACATATTTGATGACCTAGATAGGTGAGTTTTATTCCATGTCAGCCATAGAAAAAATAGTGAAGTAACCCATGAAGACAATGTCATCTTATCCACCTTATTATGCATGTTTTGTTACTTCTCTTTTTTTTCAATTTGGTGGCTCTGGCTGATAAAAATATAATGTTGAAGTATGTAGATAAATTTAATTATTTCAATTTTATTACAGTTCTCTGTGGGAAAAAACTACAAACCACAAATGAACAACAGCACAGGTGTGCATTAAGTACACATAATCCCAATTGTTGATATAACTGACAAGTGATCTGATAGGTGAATTGTGTTTAGTTTTCAGAGATGGTTTGATTTTAGTGCTCTTAGTGAAGATGGTGGAAATGAGAAGATTATTCAACAAGAGAGGGAGCATCAAGTCCTACAAAGACTTCATGCTGTATGTGACATGTGGTTTTACAACCTAAAGATTTTTTTTCTAAGTCACCAGTATCACCTATATTCATCACACTAGTGGGGACATAAAGTCATCAAGGTTTTCAACCAGCACTCTTTATTCTGTACAATTACTTTGGCTTGGCCCCAGCTTTTCTGCCCCATCTTATTTCAGTCTTCCTTTCTGCCTGTTTTCTTTCAGTTTTCTGTTGCCTTCCCCTTGCAAATTGTCCACCCTAATGCTCTGAGGCAGTTGTTAACACCCTCTCTCTTAAGCCCGTGCCTTGACTAGTTCCATTGTGATCACTGCAACTGGTAGCCTGGGTCATTCATCTCTGCTGTTGTAACCACTCTCTTTTTTTCTACCCATTGCTATATTTAATCCTTGATATTTGTCTCAGATATTGGCTAACATAGCATGACTTGCACAATGCTTACTATAGCTGTTTTCACAGCCAAGTTAAAACCAGTTGTTTGCCAATTGTAACTATCATTAACTGTGTTGAGGCTTTCATAGAGGGTAGCTGTGTAGTCATGTCTGTGGTTTCTCTCCCTGAACCCGTGTCACCATCATTAATTTTGCAAGTGTCTTAAATTACCTCTGAGAGGAGACATTTCTTCAGTCCATGTTAAATCCTTTACACCCTAACACTGTTATGCATATTCTCCATACTGTTCTCTATAAATTTCCTGGGATGCTATCGAGGAGAATTTGTTTGACAATTAAAAACTTTTCTATTTGATGATTATTTATTTTCTTCTTAGGGGTGATATTGTGAGGAAAAATTAGAAGCTGGTCACTCTAAGGGGTCAAAGGGTTGAAACATTGCTTTGGATTCTAATGTGCATTGTGTTTCAGCTGGTTATTTTCTGAATCTTTCATAAACTCAGAATTTTTTCAGCATTTTTTTTTATTTTTATCCTGATGATAGTTTCCAGTGTTCAAACTGAATTCATTATTTGACCATGTTTTAGATACTTACACCTTTCCTCTTGAGACGCCTGAAAACTGATGTTGAATTATCCTTGCCACCTAAGAAAGAGGTTTTGGTTTATGCACCATTGACAGAGAAGCAGCAGACATTGTACAAAGCATGTTTGGACAAGACACTCCCTGACATTCTTGGCCAGAAGAAGGTAATCCACTTGGGACTGCTATTATAACTATTGTTTCATTTTAGTGTTTTTAATTTAAGAATATCCCTCTATTGATGAACTATTTTGAAATGTGACTTGTGGAACACTTTCCCAAGGACTAATTACTATTTAAAAAAACAGGCTTTTTGGTCTAGCAATTCAGTGGAATATTTGCCTTGCTTCCCTGGGTCTTTGTTAGACATCAGAAACAGGTGCATCATCCAGCTATAAGCTACACAGACCTAAGCTTTTTTTAACATACTGCTGTTACAGTTCTTAAAGAAAACCTTTGTACTTTGGCCTTAAAGTATAGATTTGCTTGTTAGCAACTCAAACAGTGATAATGTTTGACAGCAGCTTATGGATATCAAACTGTCTTTACTCAGTGGTGTGTTAAAGCTCTGCTGTACGTTGAATCCAACATGCAATTCAAGTGCACCAGATGTGATATATTCTTATCTTATATCCTGAGCTATACTGCTGTTAAGACTTCTAGAAGTCTCTTCAAGTGAAATTTGTCTCCTTTTCCATCACATTTTGAGCCTCCTAAAAATTTTGTAAGCCTGAGATGTTTTTAAGGTTTGGCTAACAGTATTGTTATTTTCAGTGTCTAAAGCAATAAAAAAAGTTATGCTTTTCTCATTTTAGAAAAGTGATGATCCTGTAGAGTGTAGTAGTACTGGTAGAAGAAAGAGAAAGAGTAGGCAAGATCTCAGTTACAGTGTGTTTTTTAATGATGATGAGGTTGAGATGCAGAACTATTTGAAAAAGCAAGATACTAACAGGTTTGTTACTTCTGTCATTTAGTATGATGTCTCATTGAAGTTCCAATGGGAATTTACATGTTACACCATAACACTGCTTACATGTTTGAAACTGTTATTTCTGTAAGTCCCACAAATAAATATATGTAATAAAATTTTGGTCAAGGGTCAGTGAAGGTCAACCTGTTGTAAAGCTAGGGCTGATTTTTTGGCTTATCTAACTGCTCTTGCAAAGTGAGCCACACTTAACTGAATTGTACTGAACTCGTTTATTGCTTGAATTAAAGTACTTGTGTACATAAAGGTAACTATAACTAATATGTGATGGAGAATACAGAAGATAGCAGGAATTTCCGATGAAATAAACAACTTAATTACAACACAAACACAACAAGTAGGAAACCTACTATCTATTACAGTTATAGTTAATAATAGTTGTGATTTTAATTAAATAGCTGAGGAAATAGAAAATAAATGTATAGGTACATTACGTTGGCCTGCAAATGAGTAAACCATGGAAGAATTTGAACTACAACGTGTATAGAGGAGCATTTACGTGGAACAACTTTGCAAGTGATGTTTGGGGCATAAAATCATTTCATTTGTTTAAGAAGTTGCTAAAATTATATATTGAAACCTTCCAAGTAATGTACACAAGGATATTTATAATAGCTATTATTGTAGTTAGAACTTTGAATATCTATTTAGTTTACCAGTCCCTGTTACTATTGATGTGGAACTAGGTATGCCTTCTGTATTAATTAAATAGAAAAACTATTATGGGGGCATCTTTTTATAACCTCAATAGAGCTTGCTAGATCTCCTACCTTATCCAGTACTTTCTAGCTGAATCTAATATTGCATGTAATTTGTTACAAAACTTTAAAGGTGAAATAAATCAGTACCGAATCATGAACCGCTAGTTTGAACACTGGTATTTTATGACAGGAAAGCTGTGGCTAGCACCAGCTCACCAAGTACGGTTGTGTCAGTCAGTATGAACAGCATCCTAACTCTACTACGGAAATGCTGTAACCATCCATACCTGATAGAGTGTCCTCTGGAGGAGGGAACATTACTACGCAAAGTTGACGAGGAGTTGGTTACAAGCTCAGGCAAGATGATGCTTCTTGATCAAATGCTACCAAAACTGATTCAAAGAGAACACAAGGTATCAGCTAATGATTATCTTTGATAGACAGTGGTACAGTCCAGATGTGCTGACATTAGTTGCATTCATGAAATGATAATCAGTAAACTGCTTCTAGGCTATGAAATGCTTTACCCATAGACATTATACGAAGCCTGTCAGCACCGTTTTAAACGGAATATTTAAGATTCGTATATAAGGAGCTACAAACATTCAATTATTTATTTTCAAGTATTTTTAGTTAAGTGAACTGGTCCAGGGAAACCTGGTTCTCGGAAGTAAAGACTGGACATGAAATCGTATTATCTTTAATTTATTCGATCTATGAGAAATAATACATGATTCATTAGATTCTAATAGCGAGCGATTCTTGAAATTGCTTGCGGGAAAAATGAAATCACAATTCTTAAAATTCAACCTGTTACGAAACAAATTACTTACTTCTGTAGTGATATCTAATAAAAATTATTCCAGTATAGGTAACAAGTCAGCAGATCGAGCAGAAAAACACTAGTTTCGAACACTTTTAATAAGAACGTATCATTCCTTTTAAATAGAGATCAACTTACTCAGCGATTACGCCATCGATATGTCAAGTACGCGAATAATTACAAAATCAAATGTTGATCAATAATTTAAATATCAATCAACGAAACATGTGCATGCCGCAAGGAGTGCAATTATAGTTGCTGATGCTCTTTCTTATATGAAACTTATTTAGGCTTTCTGGAAACACTTTCCATGGTCCAGTTACCAAAGTTATTCTCCATTATTTTGTGAATAATCACGAGATTAAGTCGTACAGTACTTGTTTTTATTTTTTGTTGAATCGAACAAATTTGCTCAGTCGATTTGACTTCATATATTATGTTAGGTGTTGATTTTCTCTCAATGGACCAGTGTGATGGATATTTTGGAGGACTACTGCATTATGCGGAACTATGGTTACTCCAGGTTAGATGGGCAAATGAATATAGCGGATAGGCAGGAGGAGGTAAGTACAGAACCATATAACACAGTTTACAGGCTAAATAACCAGTTGCTGTTTGGAGAGACGAGTTTATACTTGTCAAGACGATTGTACACTAGATCTACAACAATTTTTACAAAGTGAACAATATCTTTTCGGTCATCAGTTTGTCAATCCTTATTAACATTTAGCCTAATACCCCGTTCACACCTAGGCTAAAACACGTCTAAACACCACAACAGATAGTGGCCTGTTTTGGGACCAGACAGTTTATTAAATGTATATATCCTACGTAAATAACACACTAGACTATTACATAACAAAGATATTGTACGAATACACTAAACCAACGGTCCAGTAATCCAGAATAAATTACAAACACGAATGAGATGAAGGTAAAATCAAAACTGTCGATGGTGTGGGTGGGAGGGAAACTGAAACTTTCTTAATGCTAGAAATAAACTTTTTTCTTACTTGCTTGCAAGATTATTAATAACATGTGCACATATCTCAGCTAAATTTAGCACAATTACTTTAAAAGGTAGTGATTACTCGAACCGTATGTAAAATTTGGTCTTTCAGTTTTCTTTGACTGATTTTTATTCAGTTAGAACTGGTCAGCTAAACATGTTTTGTTGGTGTGATTGGGGCATAAGTTTCCTTTGGGTTCATCTCTCCCTGAAATTACCACACATAGAAAACATTTTGTATCTACTACAAGCAAGAAAGGCGAGACGTATCTTTCAGTAACTAACTACCCTTTATGATTCCATATTCTTTACTTAGATAGCGAAGTTTGAATCTAATCCATCAGTGTGTGTGTTTCTCTTGAGTACAAGAGCTGGCGGCCTTGGTCTGAACTTGTCTGTAGCAGACACAGTAATAATTTATGACAGTGATTGGGTGAGTTGATTTTAATAACAATTGTCAGCTGGGTAAGGTCAAAGTATCGTCAGCGGTGAATAAAACATTTAATTATTGATATGATATCTGAGGATGCGGAGTACTACCGATCGAACGATCCTGGGTCGAGCCTTGGCTGGTTGCTTTGTCTGGTGTTCTTGGGCGAGGCACATAACTTTTACAGCCACGAGAACATACCACAGGTACCAATAAACAATCAAAGAAACCTAAGGAAATATTAGGAGGTACAGCCGTAGGCTAAAAAATAGTTAGAATGTGTCTCGTACGTACGTACAACAGGAATCGCAATACTCACTATTAGTTCATGCCTCAAAAACCACGAGGGTCTTTTCCCGCTATGTGAGCCAAGACTTCACTTTATAATTTATATACGAAGTTTAACTCTTTAGATTAAAGCTGTTTGTTTTCGATTCTTCAGAATCCACAGATGGATTTACAGGCCCAAGATCGTTGTCATCGGATTGGTCAAACCAAACCAGTTGTTGTGTATCGTTATGTTACAGCAAATACTGTTGATCAGAAGATTGTCGAGAGAGCAGGAAGCAAGAGGAAACTTGAAAAGATGATCATCCATAAAGGTTACTATGGGTGGTGGTTACTTTCATCATTGCTTGCTTCGTTGTAATTACTTTGTATTTCTCGTACTGTCTGGCAAGTTGAGCGGCGGTGACAGAATCTAAGACGCTTTTTGATTGGTTTCTTGGAGCAACAACTTAATTTATCTCAATGGATAGTTTTCTGGACCACATGTAAAAGATCAAACTGAAGCGAAAAGTTGTTACGGGGCTGTTAGATTTTTCAATCATCGTGTTGTTGGGGCGTAGGCAAACCCCATGTTTACACGGGTCATAGGGAACCAAAGACGCAAAAGTGAGATGTAAGATATGTAGAGATATCAAATCGCTTATCATGTTCGCTGAAATTGTCGACCTTGTATCTAAAACCAGCGAAAGGGATACTTTAGAAACCACAACAGAACAAGAACTAATGACTTTGGGTTCAAGTATACTGTTTACCTTACGGTTGGAATAATCATATATGAATTCTGTTTTATTTTGTGTATTTGTGAATTTAGTTTTGGATAATTACGGTAAATTTGTTCTGGTTAATTACTGTTCACACGCTGGTTCTGTCAATGAATGTTCATTCAATAATTCCCGCCCTGTTATGGATTAGAGCGTTTCACTCAGGAGAGCGGTCTGTGTTCATTTGCAGGAAAATTCAAGGGTAACCGAGATACGGGGGTATTGGAAACAAAGGATCTTCGCGAACTGTTGGAGATGAGCGATCATCACAAAGTAGTGTCCAGCGAAGGTTTACTGATAAAAGATCAAGATCTAATGGCTTTGCTCGACAGAAGTGATCTTGTCTCCAACGCTGCTCTACAACGAAAATCTGGAAGACCCAAAAAAGGTCAAGAACACAATGGATTATTCCGTGTGTTGGCTACAGATATCCCTGCTTCCCAATGAGCAGAAGATCTATCAAGAGAGGAAATACTTTTTCTTTTTCATCCTCAGTGAAAAAGTTCCTTCTATCGAGTTTTTAGTGTCGAAGAAACCCTCATATTTTGACTATTTTTATGAGTTTACTTATTTCGTTACTTTTCAAAACATTTACTTCGTTACTTAATTTTTGTTCCATGAGATATAGACTCCAAAGGAACTTATACAGGGATGAGATTCAATGAGCGAAACTTGCTGATTTTCACGTTTCTCATTGTACTCGAGTTCTCCCAATAATTTCAGCTAAATGTTCTGAGACGTTGTGTTCATAGATTGTATTTATGGGAGAGTTGATATTGAATCAATAAAGTTACTCGTTATGCATTAACGTGAGGTTTTGCAGTCATCGTTCTTCAGTTCGACGTTAACTGAATGTGCAACCGCTCATCCTCTACCAAATCTACCAGTCTTTTCGCTTCTCTGCCTTTCAGGGATTTTCTTTTTAAGTTTAGAATTAATGTGACGACCAATTCGTTTAGAGCGTACACTCGGCGACATGGAGGCAAAGCCACATTGACAAAAAGAAACGTCTTTTCGTCGCTCGAGTAGCAGTAGAGCATTAGACTCGTTGGGGTCAAGTTAGTATCTCTATATCATGACACGCGTTTCGCTGTTAATTTTTTAGAGAACTTTGTTTCTAGAACAAAGATAGATAATAGAAGAGAAGAAGTATGGTAGTTTAATGGTCAGGGCAAAAGGTAACGCGGGGACGAACTTCTTACATGTTTTAACACCTGTTTGGCTCCGTTCACGCGATCCTATAGAAAACTGTAGTGAAAGCTACATGAGTAGAGCGATAACACCAAACTAAACTGAGTAGTTACCTTGTAAAATCACAACGACTCTCATCTTAGCCGTGAGTCAAAATTGAGAGAAATTTTCGTCGTAGTTATTCCTTAATAGATAATTACTGAGGTTCGCAGCATTATACCCAATAATGCTGCGAACCGAAGTAATTAACTATTATAATTATTGACCCTCATAAAATCCTATTGTTCTCTCTCTGCATTACATCGACGATTTCAGTCGCCCCTTCATATTGATGTTTTGGTACACCAACAATGCAACTGGCAAGCATTGTCCAGTAATAATACAAATTGCATAATCCTTTTTCATTCCCCAATTCAGCCATTGTTAACTACTTGCAAAGATGATATAATCATTGACTCTCATGAAATCCTACTATTTTCTCTCTCTAACAATGCAATTAGCACGTATTGTCTAGTAGTTATACAAATTACATAACCCTTTTCATTTCCCGGAATTTAGTCATTGTTAAATCCTTGTAAAGATTATGTAACTTTCCACATCTTTCAGGTGTGTGATTGAATTTCATGCAAACGTAATTTGCATTGTATATTAACGCAATGCACTTGGTTATTTGAGTTGTTTGTTGGAAGGCAAAGAGTTGCTACTGTTTTGAAGCTTGATGGAGGATTCTTCGGAAGACGAATCTGCCATTTTCATAACGCAGAGCCAGAGGTCGGAAAATGCCGCTCATGGTGTATTCATTTACTTTTTAACTTCAGATCTTCATCATAAATTATGCGCGGACATTCGCGAATTTTCAAAAATTACTGAGTGGAAAAGTAACGAAGTAAATACCACAGTCATGCAGCAATATTAAAAATATTGCTGGAAGCAGGCTGCATTATTAAAAATATTGCAGTGCAGCCAGCCCACTGCAATATTGAACGTTTTAGCGCGTTTAGGATTACCCCTGATAATTTCCCTGCTACCAAAAAGGAACGCCACCGTTTTCCTCAGACAGTTGGACTTGACTGAATATGAATACTTTCTCAGGCTGAAATCGCCGATATAATGCTGAGAGAGAACAATAGGATTTTATGAGGGTCAGTAATTATTTACTATTAACCGCTTCAGCCATTCCGTACTCGTCAACAGGCTTCCTCATTCAGGCGTCGGGAGAAAAGACCAGGGCCCAGTTGTATAAAGAGCGGATAATGCTATCCAGTGAGTAAATCGTTATCCGGCGGATAGGTGATGGCGAAACGTAGAGCTTTATCCACCGGATGGAGATTTATTATGTGGATCGCTATGCATGCAAGAGTTATTTTTTGGGGGTGGGTGGATTACTTGAAACATTGTAAGTGATGTCTAAATTTTTACAAAAGGAAAGAAGAGTATTAAGGCGGAGAAGAACGAAGAAGTCGAATTAACTCACACAGAGGTATTTTGTGGTAGATTGTGAGTGTTGTGCGAATAATGCGGGTATCAGCGGCCATCCCAAGGGGTCGACCCCCGGGCAACCCAAGGGCAACCCACGGGCTTAGCAGGGGATTTGTAGCAAAGGCATGCCCCGCACGCGGGGCATTAGAGCGCTTTTGCGTTTTTGGCAAAATACCCCGGGGCCATACCCACGGGATTTGCACGTAATCTGCTGTCTCAACGTTCAGCGGTTTTCGCCACAGGACAAGCAAGCTCGCTCGCTCGCTCGATGTTCTTCTAGCCCTCGAGGTATAAATAAAAACAAACACTGCAAGGAAAGCTATGTGCGTTTGACAAATCGGGAAATCTTGGCGTCTTTTATTTGTCCTTTGCAGTTTATTTTCCTGTGTACCATGGTCAAGTATTGTGCTGTTGCTCTGTGCCGTAATGGGAGTGAGAAACGACCTGATCTCAGTTATTTTTGCTTTCCTACAAGGCCCAATGAGCGTAAGAAGTGGGAGGTTTTCTGTAAGCGAGCGGATAAAAAATTCAAGACACTCGGCGATCCAAGAATCTGTTCATTGCATTTTAAGGAAAGCGACATCGAGATTTCAATTTCATACGGTTTGTTCGCATTCGAAGCGTCTTGCCGATAGGAAGAGACAGTGTGATGAACAACCGCAAGCCAAGAAAGTTTGCCCCAGAAAGCTCGAATTTAGAGACTTGTGTGGATTTTAGTGCTGATGTGGCTTCAGTAAACCATGATCACTCGTACTTTTGCATCGAGGAACAGGCAACACCGACTATATGTTGCCCAGGTTGCTCCAGGGGTGGGGGTATTTGTCCCAATTTTTTGCCCTACCCGAGGGGCTTTAGCATGTATTTGTCACGGCAGCTCTGACAAATGCCCCTGGGTGCCCGGGGGTCGACCCCTCGGGATGGCCGCATAACTGTAACCATAAATAATAAATAAACAGTATTGGTGCCACGGATACCTGTTAGTATAAAATGCAGACTGCAGACTGCAGACCGGATACAAAGTGTAGACTAGGCACAAAATGTAGACTGCGGAGTGGGTACAAAATGCAGACTAGGAATCTTCAGAGTTTTTTCGTCTGGTATGTGATAACATGTTATCTTACAACTTACCTAGCGTCACGCAATCGCTTTTCCGCGAACAGCTTTCACGGTCATTTGAACTATTGAGGAATATTCCTGGTCCATTTCTTGATGACAATCGATCGTAATATAATTTCAAGACTTCATAAACCCTTCTCACTCTGCGCGCGAGTTGGTTGGTGTGATGTCTGTACAGATTTTACCAAAGTAATAAAAGTAGATGTAGATGTAAATGAGATTTAACACGTCGGTGTCCGCGTTATCATCTTTTTAAGCGGTATGTGTTTATTTTGTTGACAAAACTGCAGACCGAGACCAAAACTGTTCCTTCGACTTGATATATTTTCGACGTCAGTAGATCACATCATATTAACTTACCTCCGCAAATCCTTCATTCCAGATAACAAAATCAAATAAACATGCTAATGATAGTATCTGAATTCGTCCTTGGCCAAACACAAACGACTCCACAAGATCACTTTCTCCAGGCATCGAAAATATACACAAAATCGTCCATAGTTAATTTTAATCAGACATTCATCTGGAGATAGCACCAAGAAAACCAATCCAGAAAAATATAATCGGCACACTCAACAAATCATGAATCTTGCAACACAGCTTACCGTTAAAGAACTGCTCAAATCAAAATGTTTGGTGCAATTCATCAACACCTCAAGCAATGTTTGATTCAGATTTTTCCCACTAACTCTCGTCGTGAAGGAACAATAACCATGATCGTGTGCACAGAACTCCATTTTCTCTCGAACAACTATCCAGCATTTTCACAGCATCAGTATCACGTTACTATAGGTAATCTGATATCTTTCATCTGTCCAGTAGTATCTCATTTTTCATAAAGCGCGCTAAAATACACGTTAAAAACATAGAAAAACCAACATTCTCATTCTAAAAGATGATTCCATTTTACGAATCGCACTTTCGGAATCCCCCATTTACTTCGTTGAAATTTGAACACCTCTCAACCCAAAGAACAAAAACGACGCTCTAATTGGTGCAAGATACACACCCTAATGCGGCGATCTGATTGGTGCGAGATACATACCCTAAACGATCTGATTGGTGCGAGCAACATACCACTCTCTGTACGCTAACATAGATGTCATTTTTTTTTATTAAAAAATAATAACTCAAAAAGGTTGTCATCAGGCGATAGGTGATAGGTCATTCCAAGACGGAAAGGAATCATGGGTATACAACTCAGTAACTAGTTCTTGCTGAGTGTTGTACATTTTTTTTAATCTGGATAACAGTTTTTCTGTATAGTATTCTGTGATATATTCTTCCCTAATCTTACTTTGAAAATCTGTGATCTTATCATCTAAGTCATGTTGAATTTAATTTCTATGGGCTTCCTTATTAGCTTGAACTGATGAAGGTTCGTAGTAAACGTCTTACTTTCCTGGATTTCTTCAAAATACGTGTAACTCTTCTCTTTGGTATTCTGCTGGGCTCACGATCACAAACACGAATACCATGTGTACGAGGGCGATTAAAATAAACTAATTTGTCGTAACGAGATCTACAGTTTCAGACTGTAATTATTGAAAATACTTTATCATTGCTATCATTAAGCTTACTACCATATACAATAACGGTAACTGAGCAGCTTTCTCAAAGACGTTACATTCATCGGAGCTATTCACGGCAGCTTTTGATGAAGACATCAACAACTTTAAGTAGAAATAAGCCCACAAGACAATTGCGTAAACAATAGATAACATAATAACATTATAAACAAAAAAACACAGGATTTTGGATCGTGTATTTATTAAAAAAGAATATCCACACAACTACAATGAAAACAACATAAGATTCACCTTTCTGATCGTGAAATTAATACCATTCGTACTGTTATCGTAGCTACGTTCCTTGGCATCAAGTGAATCCTACATGGGGTCTTTCTTCACAAGCTGTTTGCATCCATTAGAGTTTTGTTCTTCAGTCACACGGAAGTAGTATTGTTTAATAGATTGCATAGAGTATATGCAGTTTGGTTTCAGATTTGAGATTTTGCTTTTTTCAGCAAGTGTACGTTTTTCAACTGGAACATTGGCATACTTGGCATACTTGGCATACAAGGCATACAAGGCTTTCATGGCTTTCTAGCGTTCGCGACTCAGTCCGTTCCAAAAATACCACTCAATAACATCTTTTAGTGTGGATTGGCCACGAACAGTACGACTTGTGTACGCGTCTGTAAGTATTTTGAGCGTTTGCACCATAAAGCTCCAGGTGATCGTAGACCAAATTCGTGGCACCTCCAACGCCAAAACAACAACCCCAGAGCGAATACAAAATGGCTAACAAAAGAGTGTCATAAACAAAAATCTCGTGGTTCTTCATGTGACCCGGCCTTGTCTGTGCATGACAACGTCAATCATCATCAAAATAACAAACGTGATCAGCCTGAGAACACCTTCACCCTTATTGGATCACAGTTAGTTGTCATGGTTTTGAGGGCCCAATGACCACTGGGTACTATTGCGTAACTCTTCCATTTTGTGGCGGAGGAAAAAAAAAAAACGACAAAAAAAACAAAATCGTTTTATGAATAGGCTACCACAGGTATCCCAGTAAAAAACACAGGATTTTGGATCATGTATTTATTAAAAAGGAATATCCATACAACTACAATGAAAACATACATAAGATTCACCTTTCTGATCGTGAAATTATTACCATTCGTATTATGGTATACAAGGTATACAAGGCATACAAGACTTTCGTGGCTTTCAAGACATACAAGGCTTTCATGGCTTTCAAGCGTTCACGACTCAATCCGTTCCAAAAATACCGCTCAATAACATCTTTTAGTGTGGATTGGCCACGAACAATACGACTTGTGTATGCGTCTGTAGGTATTTTGAGCGTTTGCACCATAAAGCTTCAGTAATCGTAAACCAAAAACGTTGAACCTCCATAGCCAAAACAACAACCCTAGCAGGGGTGGATCCAGGATTTTGAGTGAGTAGTTTCCACCCGAGGACCCACTCCTGCTACGGGGGTTTGGGGGCATGCCCCCCCGAGAAAATTTGCAATTTGGAGCTCTCTAAAGGCCATTTCATGCATTTTTAGAAAATTTAATTGCCCCCAAAAGACTAAAAAAGCATGTAATCAAAAAGGCAAAAAACATTTATTTTTCTTGAAAGTACTACAGGAAACACTCTGATCTACAAATATTCCACCTTTAGCTACTGTGCAAACCAGTGTATATAGTGTTTTCAGGAAGGCCAAGTCATCACCAAGACTTTTCACACTGGAAAACATCACCTCCCAGTCAGGAAAATCAAGATGTGGAGAAAAAAAAAACGAACCAAGTGTTAGTGTTTTTGATAACAAAAGAAAAACAAGCACAATTTAAAGATTGATAATAAAAATCTACTTGCCTTTTTCATCCTTGGGACCACAGGCTTACCATCCATAAAGCCCTTCTCTCTCTCAAATTTCTTCTGTGTTGTGCTCCTATAATGAATGAAATGAATGAAAGCCAGGCTCAATAAATCCAAATGTTTAGCAACACTAAAAACAACATTTCCTGAGCTGGCTTTTATTCATTTCATTTATAGGAGCACAACACAGAAAAGAATTTGAGAGAGAGAGAAGGGCTTTATGGATGGTTAGCCTGTGTTGGGAGGTGGAATTAAAAAAAAATAAACAATTATTAGAAAAATATAAATTATAAGAATCATAAAATGATATATAAATTGAAGTAAAATGATAATTTGAAATAATACTAGCCTTTCTTCATCCTTGGGAATTGCTGTGAAGCTGGTTGAGTTCAGTGAAAATGTTTGTTAACCATTTAAGCTTAACATGAAAACCCAATGTCAATGTCAATGGAAAATCATCACAAGTAAAACAAAATAGAAAATAACCTTGAAATGAGTTGAAAAAAGTTATACAGGCACCAGTTTGAGCTTCTGTACTGTTCTCCATCAGTTTAAGGATTATGAGACTTAAAGGCCATAACCCCGACAGAACATAACTCACAAGTACTCTAGAAACAGCTGGTGCAAAAAATTATTACAAAATGTTTGCCATTCTCATTCTCCTAGGATGTAACTCAGCAAATAAATCTATTATACGTTCAAGGTCAAAATCCATGTCTCTGTGGGCATGCATCAGTGCCAATCCATTCAGTCTGTCCTGGGTCATTGTATTTCTCAAATAGTTCTTAAGATTCCGAAGGGATGATATGGATCTCTCACAAGATGCAGATGAAATTGGAATTATGATCAGGACTTTCAGCATGGAATAGATGTTGACATATGCATCTTTGTCAATATCCTTCAGTGTAGCCTCCAAACTGTCAGGAATAATATCTCCTCTGTTATCCCTCCCCTTCCACAATCTCTCCCATAACAAAAGCTCTGCCTGTAATTCTCTTGAAATCATTCATAGCAGTCATAGAAAAATTGTGAATTTCACAATTTCCTAGCGAGTGTTTGGTTAAGCGAGAAGCGGCCGAAGTCCAATTTGTGAGAGGAGACTTCAATAATTTGTCTAACTTATTAGCGTTTCGCCCACACTGAACTCCAAAACAAACACAAGCTAAACAAAATGCTCCATCGAAATATTTGGAGTAAGCTAGCCATGGAAATCTTTTCAGCCAGCCCGAGACAAACTTACGAGATTTTCCATTTTCCATTGACACGGGGAAATCAAAAAGCTCACCTGGTTTCCACACGTTTTCGACGAACTCCAGCTTCTGATGCGGCGAGTAGTTGTGGATCTCGTCGAAAACTAGGCCAATGTCGAAGGGAGAACAACCCTCCCTCCGACAAACAGGATCTCCGCGAGTCATAACACTAGTATTTTTTAAACGTTTAACAGTAAATTCCGTCGTTAACCCCTGGGCAAGTTCAAAAGTACTTGTATTGTAGGAGCAACGAAAGAGACCCGCTGGGGGAGGAACTGCCCTTTTTATACTTTGTCAGTAGTTTCCAAGGTAGTTTCCAAACACAACTAGCCAATCAGAAGAGTGTTTTGAGTGAGTTCCGATGACGAAATCTTTTCTAGCCAATCGTGAGGGGTTTTGACTGTGTTCCGCCTGTTATTGTCACCAAATAACAAGGACTTACACCCACCGGTTGCGTAAAGATTGGCTCCACGAACATTTTCCGACGGCTTCCGACGCTTTCCGAGGTGTAATCGAAGCTCGAAAGGCCAGCGCGTGATCCGGAGCGCTCCCGAACGCCTCATGACCGCAATTATAACGAAATTAGTCATTCTAAACGTATTTTCTTTAATAAATAACTGTAAAACAGGAAGATGGTTTATTTCTGGAAGACGTTTAGTGATTTCCACAAAAGTATCAGTAGTTTCCAAAGGGAAATTAGAGTGTTTTCCAAAAGTACTTTTATCAACATTTAACTAGGTCGGAAAAAATTTGAGTGAGTTCCGGAAATCAGGTAAACTACCCTGGATCCACCCCTGCCTAGAACAAATACAAAATGGCTGACAAAAGATTTTTCTAAGAAAAATCTCGTAGTTCGTCATGTGACCCAGCCCTGTCCGTGCATGACAACGTCAATGATCATCAAGATAACACATGTGATCAGCATGTGAACACTTTCACCCTAATTGGATCAGAGTTAGTTGTCATGGTGTTGAGGGCCATTCTATCGCGTTCGCTTTGTTCCCATTCATTTTCGTTTTCGGCGATGATATTTCGCTTTCCACGAGAGCTTCCGGGATTTGTGTATTTAGGAAGGCTTTTATCTTTAACTTCGCTTAGATTTTGAAGTACAATGACTACAAAAGTAGCTATTAACAAAAAGATACCTGCTAGGTGAGTATATCTTTTAATTACCTCTTTATATCAGAAGGAACCTCGACCAAGTTGGTTTGTGAGGTGTTCTTCATGAGTCTTCAATCTTCCATTGTAAATTGCTTAAGTGTCTCCAGACTTTATCACCCCTGAATCAAACATAAGGTCACGAGAGTAAATGAAATGATCACCAACTGTAGAAGCTGTTAACTGTTGATTAAATTTCTTTGTCAAAAATGTGTAGAGAACAGCGTGGAGAAGATGCATACTAACGTTTGGGTGTAAAAGGCTTAAAGAACGTCATCAATCATCATTGTTATAAAATGGAGTGGTGTTATGCCTTTTTGAAAGACATGGCAGTTAAGAAACCATAAAAATCATCTGGATATTAGAAGGAATTACTTTTTAATTACCCTGTATTATGATATAAGTAAACTGGACCTGCATGCTACAAAATTGATAACTATCCTCATTTCAGAGAAAGATGTTTGTTTCGTCTTGTCACGAGCGCACTATCCTCCTATTTCTTGGATTAGTGGCATACTACAAAGGGCTGAGATTTAAAAAGTCATCTTTAAGAACTTTAAAGGTGGCTAATTTAATTTAACAATGGACAATTCATTTGGCAAAACTAAATTATCCTGTAGTACCCCCCCCACCAATGCAGCAGCTCAGTTTCTTTAGAATTTTACTCCCTTCTGACATACCAAATGATCTAACACAAATAATACATATAATGTCAATACACAGGTTTATTTGCCATATTTTTAAAACCTTTTAACACTCCTTGAATTTGTTCAGAAATGATAAGATTTTTGTCAGCAATGATCAGCAATGACTTTGATTCATTTTATAACAGGTGGAGAAACTATAACCCATGTGGGGTACCCATACAAGGAGAGAGGATTATTGCATTTAAGACACCTTTGTCACGTGTAAGGTGAAATAACAACATGTTAGCGATTTCTGATATGAAGTATTGCTCATGTTGTCAAGATATCAGTATTGAAAACAATCACTAGCTGCTGTCTTTTTAGGACTACCTTACATTTTAGAACTGACAAGTCTTTGAACTTACTTAGAAATGCTTTCTCATTGCAGCGATGTGACAGTGAAAGTGATCAATACAATGAAATCAAACCACGTGAAAGGTAGGTACAGTGTTATTTACTAGACATGTGGATGCTAATTTTTTTAAATTTCCATTCACATTTTTTCATCGCTCAGTTTAAAAACTGTGCTTTCAATATCTTTCATCAGTTTTTAATCTTTTTTAAGGTTTACACCAATGGATCTGGTGAATCATCTCAGCCAAAAGCATGTAAAACTTGGAATGGTTGTGGACCTCACTAACACTGACAGATATTATAATCACAAGGTATGTAGATCAAAGAATGATTTTAGTTTCTATTTTTCATACATATTGTTCATACATTTAATACAGCAACTCTATGGGAGGAAAAATAACTTAAAGGTTATTGCAATGGAGTTCAGATTGAAAGATCTTGTGAGTCAGACATGCCTTGTTGTTAGGCATCATGATTTCTACCAAAATAGTAATAGATTTATTGATCATATAAATTATTGTTCAAGGAGTTCTCTGACCAAGGCATACCTCATCACAAGATCAAATGTGTTGGAACAGAAATTCCAAATGAAAATGTGGTAACAAGGTAAGGGAATAATTTGAATGGAATTGGGATCTAGATAATCGCTCTTGGTACATTTAAAAAGTACTGTTACATTCTTCCAAAGGTTTAAGACTGAGGTCTGCAGCTTTTTGGATAAGGAGAGTGACTCTGGTAAGAAACATAATGGCACAAACAATTTACTCCTTTAGTCTGTTGAATCCCATATGATATGTTACCATCTTTGATTTTTCTCCAGATGCTGTTGTAGGGGTTCACTGTACTCATGGTCTAAACAGGAGTGGTTACGTAGTTTGTAGGTGAGAAAAAGTGACATACAAAAGTTAAAAAAATGATTTAAGAGTAAATGTCAATAAAAATCACAGATTATCGAAAAAGTTGCGGACACGGTCAAAAATCGATTTGGTTCATTTTTTGCCTGTGGGAAGCCTTAACTATTAAACAAACGGAAATGGGGTTAGATTTTTGAAATATGCACTTTGAAGGGAATGATTTGTTTCAACTTTTCCGGGGGTAAAAAGCTCAAATTTCACCAAGCGCGATCCTGAAATTATGCACTTTTCGGGCACTTGTCATGCTAACAAAAATGTAACGGAAGGACTTTTCTAGTTATAGAAATATTGAGTTGGACTTGCATTATCGAGACAAAGTGATAGTTTTTGTCTCATGTTATTCCTGGAGGAGCTACGTCCCTATTAAGAGACGACATCCTTGGCCTTTTGAAATTAAGGCAAAGGTGGCCTAGAATAGCTTGGCAAAAATACATGTGGTAGTGTCTCAAAGTTTACAATAACACTACCAAGAAGCCTTGAAAGATATTTCTTTACGATTTGGGTTTTATTTCTTTTACTATCAAAAGATGACCACAGCCGAATTTCGGTTAAAGTACTATGACGCCATAATGAGATGCGTAATAACAAAAAAAACGCGTTGGACACAAATAACTGTTTTGGTTAGTTACATCTTCAGTGGCCGTTAAAATGACTAGAAGCATATTAAAATGTCTATAACTACACTTGATTTTTATATACGAAGACAAGAGAAACAATTTTCGACTTTTGCTACCCTGAGAATCACGCCATAATTCTGCTTAATTCTAAACACAATAGGTTAAACAGTTGAATTGCACTCAACAGGTTAAATTTGCCACAAAGCCGTTAGTTTACGTTTACTTCTCATCCGGTGAACATGGATTCGAGCATTTGCATCCCTTCTGCGCCTTCTGCACTCGCCAGTTTCGAATATACTGAAAATCGTCCAATACAAAGATAAGGAGGTTTCACAAGCAGTGGTACGCTCGAGTGACTGAAATCCGATATGTAGGACTCTACTGTCACGCAACGCCTACTTGTAAATAATACACGCACCGCTTTTATAATCAGCGGATCAGTACAGTGGCCCACAACTGTGGTGGCCCACAACTGTCACGGCAAAACAAAAAGTCACGGCACTACAAACTTTACTCACGGCAAAACAAAATTGACTCACGACAAAACAAAAAAAACGAGTTGGTCAGCGGTTGGTCAGCAGTTGTTATTTGCATCTGAAACGGTACGCCGTGTAACAGTAAACAAACGAAATGGCGACCTTCCTTGCTAAGAACAATAATGGAGGGGTGAAAAAGAAGCCAATGATAATCTTAAAAGAGTTTATATTTATTCGTTTTAGATTCAACAAGCGGCGCCAGCGACTGGCAGGCGTGCGAGGTTTCACAATGAAATAAGAGAACAACCTTCGTTTTTCGTAAAATTGTAATTTACAATCCTTGAACTTGAAAACAATTCGAAGATTCACTAAAATTATCACATACTCCGAAGCGCTCAGAGTTTACAGGTGTTCAAAAGCTTTTTCTGTTATGGCTTGAGATTAGGGACAAAATCGATCACTACATTTCGTATCGTGTGTTTCTTCTGTGTGAAGCAACAAAAGGTGCCGGCGATAGACGAAATTACAGGTTAACAAGAAAATCAAATAACACCTAAACAAATAATTTTGGCTACCGATTTTCAGTGAACTTTTAAAGAACAATTTTCTTTTAAGTTTCAAGACAATTTGAAGATTCAAAATAAATATTACGTACTAAAATGCGAAAGTTGTACACCACAAAATCGATAAATAGGCCTGAAATGAAATTCTATCTTGTTCTCGATTATACGTTGCCTAGCACGTGACCAAAGCCTACCCAGGCGGAAATCCAAATTGACGGTGGCAGTCTGGGCTTAGTTATATCACTCAAAACTCGTTCCCGTTTGTCTCATGTGATAAAGAGGGAATCATTAATGTTTTCACCAAGACAGTATTGCCTTGATTTTCCAATATTTACAATGATAGACAGTAAATTTCACTTTTACCTAATTTCCCACATTTACTTCCAACCTTTTCTTTTGAACCAGAAACAAAAATGATACATGTTCAAAACACATGACATCATCCACCCTTGTCAAATGTAAAAGCATGACCGTTTCAATTGTAATGCCTTCTTATCCCAACGTTACTTTGTTTCTTTGCTACATTAGTGAACACTGAACTACTGCTCGTACTCTAAATATGACAACAAACCACAAAATTCCCTAAACCAGATAACATCAAACATAATCCAAAAAATCGTGTTAGTCATCTGTCAATTCACGAGTTTGCTCACAGAGCACTTTGACTCGAGCTTACGATGTTTTGCTCCGCGTGTGGTTCGGTAGTAGATGAAGATGCAAACTTTTGTAAAAGCTGTGGTAGAGGTACGTTTCTTAGTTTTAAGTGTTCGTATTTGCATTTCTTTTAGTTCCAAATAACGATAGGTGTGAGAAGACACTGCTACAAATTAGTTGATTAGCACGTGTCTGGAATAAGATTGTGCATGTAGCCTGTGTGTAAGAAGAAAACATTCATAATGTATAGGCCTTGATGAAACAAGGATTTTTCAACAGGTGGGAAAAAACAATGATCGTTATTTGGAACTAAAAGAAATGTTCGCAGATGTTAAGATCGAAAGATACAATCGGATGCTGAATAGACACATCTCTCATCACATTTGCACACACTGCAGATAGATGACTCTCAGCTTCGGCGGAAATTTCGTCCTCGTCGACGCTCTCCATGTCTACTTCTGAGACTTCACTAGCTTTTGCTTCGTTACCAGCGACTGTAACTTCTAATCGCTTCTTTGCTGAAAGACAGCTGGAGAAGCCACTAATCTGCTGCGACATAAGGACTTCATCAGGTTGAAATCGGCGTCCCCCGCTTTGTCTCTTGCTAGGCTCATGGTTTTCGAAACTTCCTGTAGATCGCTTTTCCGTCCACTATACTCCCCTTTTTTAAATTGGTCAGTTAAGAATTCGGTCTGTTTCTTTGTAAAACGCACCTTTTTCTTAATTGTCTTCAGGGCCCAACCCATTGGAAGAGGCAGCAAGCCGTCACTCTTTGATTGTGCAGCAACTTGAACGCTTGGTATTCGACTGAGTCCCTCCGTCAGCTTGGAAGAATATTCTCTTTTAGCTTTATCGTAGAGAGTTTCCTGTTCGAGCATCATTTGGTGTTTTCCAGTATCTAGGTGTGTCTGGAGGTTTGCAAAGCGACTGTATGCTTTTACACATCCTTCTTCTGGACACGAGAAAAGCATGTCATCTGGCTTATATTCCCCAATACAGCTTCGATCTTGGTTTTCGCTTTCAGTTGAGAAATCTGCTTTGACAGAGCTTTTCTTAATATGTCGGTGTCTCACAATCTTGAACGTCGGTGTGCTACTTGGATTCTGCGATAGCGAGTTTAGGATTCCCAATTTTTCGGGTTGCTTCATGACTCCTTCGAACTTGGCCCATGGCACTACTTTACCGGAACCTGCACTGAATGCTCTCCACACTCGTACGCCACTTTCATCATAGTCGCATGCAAGGCGGAAGTTAATAGTCGATAATTATTTTTTACCTTATAACATAATTGACTGATAACCTATCCTGATATCTTTATCCAGTTACTTCTCAGTATTGTTTTCCTTTTGGAGCATTTCGAAAAAAATGTTGAGAAGCCATATAATAATTTAGAACCTTTATTATTTGGATATATCCTGGAGTGTGATTTGCTATCTAGGCAGGGTACGCCTATCCAATTCTTGTATCATGTATGGTTTTGCCTAGTCGTTGACGGGCGGCAATGGCGGCGTTTGAGCATGCGCTTGCAAGTTAGCCTGGACACGCCCTTCTCTTACCTGGGTTGAATCCCTAGGCATGAAAAGGGCGGAGAAGGGAGAATTCAGAGGGTGCGTTAAGGTTTTCCACTTTTATTGATTACATTGGATGGAAATTCTTCATGTACACTTTGAAGAAACTCACCAAAGTTAGACCACTTAGACCTTCCGTGATTTTTTTCCACACCTCTTGTGGCACCCAAGCTCTGCGATTGTAACTGATTTTTTATTTTTGCTAGAGACTGTCGACATCGCACGCAAATTCCCTTAATATTTCGAGAGAAAGAATTAATTTATACTTTTTCACCTTACACCTCCTCCTTAAACAAACAGCTCTGCATGTGGCAAAAGAACAAAACTAGCCTAGGCAAAAGCCCCACAAACCCCAAACTGATGACTCAACTCAATTCGAGCGTTCCCCACGCCATTAATTAGTTTTGACAGGAGCACGTCAATAGTTTTAAATAAGTTTTGAAAGAGACGATATCCTTGCTGCATGATGACAGATACTGTCTGAGTGGACTGATGCCTTGTGCGTTCCTCTGCACCACAAACGCCACCTACAATATCAAGTAAAGAACAAGGCATTCTTCTTCTGCTGGGGTTAAAGCAACCGTTTTCTTTTTTCCTTTCACCGACGATTATTACGCTTTTGTTTACTTTCGTTAACTGATCACATTTGTTTTCCGTCGGAAAATTGTATCGCCATTTTCGTTCCATAAAGTTTTCACTGTACGGTTTATATTTGTGAAATTTTGTAAAGTCTATTTCTTAGTTGTATCGTTTTCGTTCATGATGGCAATATATTTGTTTGGATTTTATATGTGAGGCAGAATGAATTGTTTGTTGATCTCGCTACGTGACAGATTGTCCTATGTCACGCAGAGTGACAGGAACCTGTGAAAAATTAATTAAAATCCAGCAAATCCCTAGCGTTACCTGCCCTTTTGTACAGGACTCTTTTTGTGTGGGACGTCAAAAGAGCCAAAATTAGGATCAAAGTAGACTAAACGTAACTGGGTTGTGACACGCTATAGAAAATGACAACAACAAATAACTTCATTTTACTCATCCGGTCGGCCCCCTTTACACCAAATTGCAAAGGGCAGTATTTCGAAAATATCTTCCAAGCAGAATAACAAGGGTCTATAAAAGATTTCTAAGGTAAGGAACTATTGATGTCAAAGCAAACATAAAAAGCTAAGTGCGGCTGCGACTCAAACAATGCTTGGCTCGTGTCATTGCAATGTTGATTTTGTTCATTTCAATATGGCGCCATTTACAATTTTAGTGAAGTTTGGTTGGTTAGTATATCAAAACAGCAGAAGATACCAGAAAAATGAAGCGATAAATTTGAAGACCCACCTTATAAGCCCTCGTGATAGTATTGCTGAAGATTTTGAGAAACTACCACATGCATTTTTGCCACACTACATTAGGCCGGGTTTAGCATGAATTAAAAATGGCGAACACGTCTACTGGTAATTAACTCGTGGTTTCGTCAGGAAGGACACGATACAAAAAATATCACTACATCTTGGTAATGGAAGGCCACATGTATATATTTATAGTTAGAGAAGTCCTGCTGTTGCATTATGGTTCGTGCAAGGACGGCCTGAAAACTGCATAATTTAGAGCTCGCACGCACTCATTTTCTATCATGCAATTAGTGACGGTTTATTTCCGTTAAAATGAATATTTACAAAAACTAACCTCACTTCACTTTAAGTAGTACCTATAGCTACCTGTAGACAAAAAATGGGACGAAACAATTTTTTTACCATGTCCGCGATTTTTTAATTTTTCTTTGATTTTTAGGGACATTCACTCTTAATTATGTGATTGGGAAATTCTATTGACGAGGAAAAACATTTGAGTTTCTACTGATGAAGTGAATCCACTTTTTTCATTTTAGATATCTTATTGAATGCAGAGGATACACCTCTGAAGCGGCAATCAAAGGTAAAATAAGCCTTGAGATCAAAGACATAATCTTTTCAGATAACGTCACAATGAGTGTTACACAAGTTGAATAATCAGAGATTGATTTTCTCTTGCTTGACTTTGCTCTGTGATTGGTCCTGAAAACTCCCGCTACTCTCTCAACCAATCAGATTCATAACTAACACTAATCACGACTTCGTCGCCCGCGTTTTCCCGCGCACTTGGCTTGTTTTACTTTGAGTTCTTTTTGGCTCTCAAAGGTATTTTTCTTTCTCCTGATTGGTTGTGATTACTCTAGTTTTGGTTTTACGATACTCAATCGAAAAGCGCTCTACTGAGTAAACCTCTCATGTACCTAAAAGAAAAATAGCCATTTTCGCCGTCACCTCTTCTCGGACCAGATTGTTTCTTAAAGTAATCTGATAACTTACTTTTTATTTCCAACCTGTTGCGACCTACTGTTGTGATGAATGAATTTAAAATAACACTTAGAAACTTTTTTTGTTCTTTATTACTTTTCCAGCATTCAATGAAGCTCGAGGACATCATATGGAGCGTGAGAATTACCTGAAGGATCTCCGTGAAAAAATCCCCAAATTGTGAGTAAACTATTCAATTTCTTTGTACACGATTTCGTTACGCTATGTTAAGCGCATGTCACAAAGTAATGTATGGCAAGCCACTTCTTGCTTACCATTTAAATTTGTATGAAATGCTGTCACTTTTAACAGCGATTTCACATCTTTCGTTCGTGTTAGGGATAACGGGAAACAGGACGAAATTCAATTTGACAGACCAAGACATCTCTATACCAACCCAAGATATGCCACAAGGAAGGACGCATTTGAAGAGGACGTAACAAACTGGAGATCTCCGAACCACGTCAGGGAGAATACAAATGGTTACAACAACTTCAGACCACGTTATCAACAAGTCGATCGTTATCAATCCACGAGCAACCCAACCCAACGTAGAAATTATCAACAAGTCGATCGTTATCAATCCACAAGCAACCCAACCCAACGTAGACATTATCAACAAGTCGATCGTTATCAATCCACAAGCAACCCAACCCAACGTAGACATTATCAACAAGTCGATCGTTATCAATCCACAAGCAACCCAACCCATAGAAGGGAGGTTTGGAAGGGAACGACACAGGGAAGATAATCATGATACTCATTCTCACTAAATCTTTTTGTTATAACAAACCAGTGTAAAGAGCACTTTTTTCATACAGCAATGTAAAGGATACAGACTAAAGCTTATGGAAACGTGTATAAATAAACATCTTTACCAAATAAATGTTACTGTTTTGAGTTGTGTCATACAAAAGGTTTCCAACAGCAAAAACAGCAAAGAAAGATTGAAATACCAATATATACAGTGAAGTTCATTTGAATTATTGTTGTTGCTTTAAGTCCACGAATAATAAATTTAATATTATCCATCCTCTTCATTTGGTAGGAGTTCCCAAATTCTTTTTTGTCCAGATGTCACAATTTTGTTTTCAAATAAATGGAAAATCTTGATTTTCATACCAAGACTTTTCCTTGGAAAAATTAAAAAGGTCTAAAGTATTGTCTTTAAATAAGACTAGAGCTCCACTGCAATTAGTCCTTTCACCCCTTGGAGTGACTAGCACCTAATTTCTCCATGAGTGACACATTAGGGTCACAAGAATGAAGGAAATGATCATTAACTAAAGCTCTAAAACATGATCATTCAGATGATTTCAGTTGCTAAAATCTTGCTTCATAATAATCCCCTTTGTCATAGGAGTAAGATGATAATGCGAAAATGCATTTGAGCCTGCCTACAGAAGTCAAAGTTTTGTTCACTACCTCACCAGGTTGTGACCTAAGACAAAATAACTAAACATTTGTACAACTTTACCAACCCTCCCTCTCCTCCTATTTTAGTGATGGCAAAATGACATATCAAATGACACATTTCGGTATTCACATATCTCCATAATTACTTCGGGAGGGGTATGGTGGTTAACAGTTTCTTTTGATTCTATCCAGGATCCTTGGAAATTTACACACAAAACATTTCCATATGAACACTTAATTCGGCGTGTAACTGTGATGAACTTGCATCGAAAGACGACATCTTTTTCATCTCCGTAACCAGGCTGCGATTTCATATGAACAGATGACAATTGAGTACCAGCAAAATGGAGTGACAGAATTCCTCTTAATCTAGGTTTAGGTACTAATAACGCTACGGATCCAAAAGTTGTAGTAGTATAAATTCAGCATCTCACTTGAACGCAGAATAGGTTCCAAAGAGCGCAGCAGAGCTCATTCCAATAGCAAATCCGATCATGAAGCCAACTTTAACCCACTCAAAACAGCTCGGCTGAGGGCTCTTTGCATATTTATCCTCTTCTTTAATTGCTACTATACCCTTTGAGCAGGGTTACCGGGATACCTGGACGGTACTGGATGCTTGGGATCAAGTGTAGTGATATTACGGGTGTCGGACTAGTATACCGAAATAGTGAGCTCAAGTCTGGCCAAGGGCATACGCCTATTTCAAAAAAGGTTGTCATCAGGCGATAGGTGATAGGTCATTTCAAGACGGAAAGGAATCATAGATATACAACTCAGTAAATAGTTCTTGCCGAGTGTTGTACATTTTTTTTAACTGGATAACAGTTTTTCTGTATAGTATTCTGTTACAAGCAGAGCAAATATAATATGAACCTTCCCTAATCTTACTTTGAAAAGCTGTGATCTTATCATCTAAATCATGTTGAATTGAGCTTCTATGAACTTCCTTATTAGCTTGGACTTGTGATATAATCTTATCTTTGTCTGCAAGATCCAGTTTTTTATACCATTCTGCTCTGCCAGACAAAATTTTTCCTTTTTCTTTGGGATTCAATGACTTATACCATTCTGCTCTCTTTTTGTGTGTGCAGAATTGAGCGAGTTAAACCATTCTGCTCTCTTTTGTTTTTGTGCAGCATCCAGTGATTTATACTACATTGCTCTGCTGGACACAACAATTTGTTTTTCCTCAGAACCAAGTGATTTACACCAATTTACTGATTTGGACAAGAGCTTTTCTTTTTCTTCAGGATCCATTGATTTGTACATTTCAGCTCTGTGGGATAAAAGTTTTTCTTTTTCTGCAGGATCCAGTGACTTGTACCATATTGCTTTAGTAGACAAAACTTTCTTTTTTCATGGCAGATTCCATTTGTACGTAGCTTTCTTTTTTCCTTTTTGCATGTAGTTCTCTGACTATGAGACTTATGTTTTACCATTACCCTTTGACTTCCAGCATTTGACAAATTAGTTGAACAACATATAAATTTAATACAATATTCTATATCTTTACTCTGGAATTGTTTTTTACAATATCCAGTGATGACTGAATAAGAAAATCTATGTCATTCATTTTTTCAAATATATCAAGTGTGCCATTAGGACTGAATCTTATAATATAGTACCTAACACCTTTTGCTTTTAATTTTATATTATTGTCCTGAAAAATACAGCTGAAGCAATGATTTGAAATCCACATTAAAAGCCCAGTGTTATCCTTAGTATTATCTGTGATTAATTTATGAAGCAATTATTTGCTACCAAGGGATGTACAGCATATTATTCCTTGTTTCTCTAAATTAAAGACGTTTTTAATATCTGCATCATATATTTGAAGTGTCCTTGGGAAATTGTTGATAGTCAGTAGATGGTTATCGCCATCAAGTTTTTCTTTGTAAAACTTGTTTGCATGGTCAGTGATTCTATCTAGAGTCTGTGAATTCCAATACCCAAAATATTTGATTATGGAAAAACAAATGCTGTAAAAAGATGTGGCACAACAGCATAACAAGGGAATATGAATGGTTGTACTTTCAGCATCTGCATGATTTGCTTCGAGGGGGGACAGCTGACAACTGTTGATCAGAAATATCTGCCATATCACATTGTTTTTCATTAATATGTACACCTTTGAGTTCAAATAAAACATTTGGATTTTGATAAAGACCTTGAAAATAGTTTATCACCTCATTTAAGGTATTAACCTCTAACAGTACACAAGTTCCTTGAGGATGGGGCATACCATATGAATCTCTACCATGAGAATCAAATATCTTAAACTTACCATCACCATTACAATTAAAACCTACCGTAGTACTAAGGATTGTAAAGAGAAAGGAATTATAATTTTCCTAACAAAGCCTGCATAGCATTAGCAAATGACACACAATAATTGAAATCTTGTACTTCACAAGTACCAGGTATAGTACCAGTATAGCTTGGACTATATTGAAGCTGATAATTAATATTGAACACTATTATCATTTCAGGTACTTCTGTTAACAGTAAATAGGATTGCTTGGATAGACCAGAATACAATTCATTATCAATTTTCATGATATTAACCAAGTCCATTGAGGATACAATACCATTCCTCGTTATATATGAGGGAAGTAAGTAACATGGCTACATACTGTGTACCAGCATTTAACCCAAACATTGCTACATTGTCTTGACTGTAAGGAGTTTGAATTGTTTTAGTAGAATTAATAACAGGACCAGGGTTTGTTTCTATATCCCCAGACAGATTGGACTTAAAATGATTTAGCCTGTGATTCAGATTTTTATGAACATTTGGTACTGAATTAGACCTCCATGCATTCGACTGCCTTGGCTTTGAACTTTGTATTGGAAGATATTGGTTTAGCATTTTCAGTATCCTGTATTTGTTAGACTTTGGATATTTTCTCCTGACTGCATAATAATCATATCTGATTCCATGTGCATATATTTTTTAACGAGCTTTACTTGTAAAAAGATGCATGCGGGAAGACTTCGGTATGCTTTTCCTGATGTAGGTTCGAAGTAAACGTCTTACTTTCCTGGATTTCTTCAAAATACGTGTAACTCTTCTCTTTGGTATTCTGCTGGGCTCACGATCACGAACACGAATACCATGTGTACTAGGCCGATTAAAATAAACAAATTTGTCGTATCGAGATCTACAGTTACAGACTGTATTTATTGAAAATGCTTCATCATTGCGATTATTGAGCTTTTTATCATATACAATAACAGATAACTGAGCAGCTTTCTCAAATACGTTACCTTCATCGAAGCTATTCACGGCAGCTTTTGCTGAAGACAACAACAACTTTGACATTAGTCCACAAGACAATGGCGTAAACAATAGGTAACATTATAACATTATACACAAAAAGCACAGGATTTTGGATCATGTATTCATTAAAAAAAGAATATCCATACAACAACAATGAAAACAAACATAAGATTCACCTTTCTGATCGTGAAATTAATACCATCCGTACTGTTATCGTTGCTACGTTCCTTAGCCTCAAGTAAATCCAACATGGCGTCTTTCTTCACAAGCAGTTTGCATCCTCTACAGTTCTGTTCTTCAGTCTCACGGTAGTAGTGTTGTTCAATAGATTGCATAGAGTATATGCAGTTTGGTTTCAGAGTTAAGATTTTGCTTTTTTCAACAAGTGTACGTTTTTCAACTAAGACATTGGCATACAAGGCTTTCAAGCGTTCGCAACCCAACCGGCGTTCCAAAGGTGTCTGGTCGTTTCGATACAAATCGAAGTCGATTCGTTAAACATGTAAATTCGATTCGATGCAAACTGAAGTCGTTTCGATACAGAAGTAAACTCGAGAAAAGTTCTGTTGAAGTGTGTTAGTTTCGTCTTTGATATGTGTGGTGATTTGTTGTTTTCTATTCAAGCTAAAATTCGACTCGATTAATTGAGCGACTCGATTGATCGACGTAGTTGAAGTCCCAAATCTTGTACCTGAAAAAAAGGTCCCAGTGTGTTTTACACACTGACATCAGTTAGTTTAAAGCGTTTGGATTGTTTTATACGCTATCACTAAGAACAATGGGGTAAAATAAGCAAGTTTTTCAAAACAATTAGTTTACGCGTCTATTGGTATGATAATTTATAAATCCACGGGCCAGAATAACTCCTGTTTCCTCATGGGTCCGTTGCATCACCGACTTACACGACATTATTGATAATATTCCTGTTTCTTGATCGTAGGTATAATATGCGCTGGAGTTATAGAAAAAGTCTCAAATGTTTTTATATAAATCTCTGTTTTCGATAAATAAACTTAACCAAAACTTAGTCTCGTTTGCGTGTTCTCATTGCG